TATGAAGTTGAAAGTTTTTCGTTTTCTGAATGTGTTTTGGATTTTCGTTTCTTTTTGTCCGGATTTTTTGGAATTACATCGTTTTTGTAATTGGTGTTAGACGATTGTTTTGTTGAATGTTTTGAGTTGAGTATTGTTTGAATTTTCTAACATTTTTAAGGAGTTTTTCAATTTTTTTTTCAAGTCTTTGTGATGTTATTATTAATATTAATGCATTCAATCGACAATGGTTACGTTTGTTGTTATGATTATACGTATTGAAGTGATTATTATTATCCATATGAATGTGATTATTATCGTTATCGTCATTAAGCTTCAGATTTTTATTATGAGGTTTTTGTCATTGTTACGATTGGTTTTTATGCCTTCTTCTCTTTATCTTCTCTGTGTGGAATACTATTTGTTGAATTGGTCTATTGTGGCAGATGATTTTATTATGGAAGTGTTCGCTTTTCAATGTTTTTTACTTTTGTATTGTGACCTGTCATTATGGTTTTGTTGTTGAGATTTACACGGTGCGATCGAAAAAAGGTGAGGGTTATAGGCTGTTTGCAGGTCTTTTCGGTTTTGTCATTACTATTCAGAAGTTTTGAGTTTGCTCGGTGTTTTGATATTGTTATCATTATTATTACTATTATTATCACTGAGAGGATATACTTTTATCGTTGTTATTATTGTTCTTATTATTAGTATTCTTCCATTTTCATTTCAATGCTCATCGATTGCAATTATTTTTCGGTATATCTGACGAGTGGGATTTTTTAAAGTGATTCATTTGAAAGTAATGTTGAGGATTGTTATTGTTATTATTATGGCTATTGGTATTGTTGTTGCTGTGAGCATTAATAGTGGTGGTATGATTATCATTAATGTTGTTGTTATCATTATTATCGAAGACGCAATGAGTCGATTAGTTAACTGAGTCGATTGGTTTTTGGTTGATTGAATCGGAAATTTATTTGATATTTTCAGAAAGTCTCTTCTTTCCGCAAACTTCTATTTCTAGGCTATCATCAGAAAATTATGATTGTTTTTATTATCATTATTATTATTATTATCACCGTTGTTATTGTTGTTGTTATAACTTCCCAGATTTCTAATGATTATCTCTCTTTTATTCGTTTTTACAATTGGAATTGGAAATATTCTTTTCGTTTCAAATATTCTGATTTTTGAAATATTCTTTAAAAAATAGAACGGTGAATGTGCACCAACGATGACGAGTAGCATGCGATCGGCCTTCTCTCTTATTTTATGATTACGCTATCATTCTTATTGGTATCGCTGTTGTTATGGCTATCTTTTGATAATTATTATTATCATTATCATGATTATGATCGTGATTGATTTGTTGAAATCTTATTTCTTATTCGTCTTTTCTTTAATTCTTTAACGAAAGTTCTTGAGTTTGTTTCTTTCTTTCGAGAAATTTTTTCAAACAGATTAAGTTTACGTTGAATTTTGTTAATACATATTTTATAATTGTTGATTTTATTGATTGATTATTTTGATCGGAATGATTGATCAATTCAGATTTTATATAATACTTCTATTGTTGATTGATTGGTTGAATGATTTGATTCAGTGAAATTATTCACAATCAGTGAAACTTCTGCATACGAAAGAAGTTCTGCAAACATAGATAGATATATACTCAGAAGATTTATGGATATTATAGTATCGATATAAATGGATGTGAAATATATTGTAATATAATAATAATATCACAAAAGCGATCTGTTACATTTACATTTGGGTTTGGATGAATTGACGAAAATTTGAAGAAGAGTTTGATGAGAGAGCGATTTTGGTACTGAAACTGATCGAGAGTGATCGAATCTTGAATTGAATTCCATTGGTTATTTGATTACCAGTTGAATATCGTCACATTGGTTTGGTTTCGGTTCAGATCTGGTTTGGAAGAGTTTGTGGATAATATATTGGGTATAAAGGATGCGGGATTATGATCGGTGGTGAGGAATTTGAGATGGAAGTTACGTATTGGGTGTGAGAGTATTTATGGTATGGCATAAGGAAGAGTGGGTTTGAAGGGGAATATCTGGTGAAGTTATTGGGGTGATTGGATTAGGGAGTTGTGAAGATTTATGAGGTGGTGTTGGGAATGGTGTTTTATGAGGTAGTGGAATGTGATATAATATTTGAGGGTGGTTGGTGGTATACTGTAATATGAGGTGTTGAGGTATAGTCATATGAGGTATACTGTAGTGACTTCATAGGATTGTAGTTCATTATTGGTTCAGTTTAGTGGGAAGTCAGTTGTTTCATTCGATTAATTTGTGACTGTTTATTGGAGATAGTGACATTTTCTGAAGTAGTCATTAGGATTTCGAATGATAATTGTGGCGATCTTGATCGATTAACAAATATAATGAATTGTGTTTAATGTGGAAATAATATTAGGAACAGAAAGCGCAATGCACCACTATGACGGTTATAAGCTGATGAATTGGAATGAGCAGTTTTGTGAAGATCACGGACCTGCAAGTGGAACGAGTCGATCGTGGAATGAAGGGATAGCCAACGGAATAAAACAAGAAGATTGTAGTGATGAAGACAAGGATCAGGAGGATAAGGATAGAAGAAATCCAGTTAAAGTAGAAAATAATGATGAGGATGGAGATGAGGAGAATGATGACTACATGTCTGATGTATTCACAGCAACTACGAGTGATATTAGACCAGGTTTGTATCTGTCTGAGATCAAATCTTAATGGGAAAATTGAATTGAGTTCAATTAAAATATATTTCCTGGATGAATTGATCTTCTACTCTTTAATAGATCCTCTTTGGTTTGGAAAGAAATCCCCGGGAAGTATGTAGCTACCCATCTGTTAATCGCCCAATTCCCTTGAACATAGGAAATCCTCGTTTTCGTGGGATATTATTAATATCATCATCATTATAATGAGAGTAAGATGACGATTGTTAATGATCACACAGTGTCATTTTCACAGGAATCGCTATTAGCCACAGCCAACGACGGATTTTGAAAATCGAGTCGGAACGAAAGGAGTACGAAGAACGACTGAAGAGTCAGCCAAAACGAGCAGAACTTGAACGAGAGATGCGTGAGAAGGCATTGCAAAAACCGATTAGTAGTGAATCAAAGGGATTTGCATTACTCGCGAAAATGGGTTATAAGCCAGGCATGAGTTTGGGAAAGCAGAAAGAAGGTTGCTATATTATTGCTTGTTTGCATCATTCATTTGTTCATCCCTTCATGAAGTGTTTATTCGCGTATGCTTAGTATATCTTTATCTACACGATTTAGCAACGACAACGAATAATTTCATAATCATGATTCGTGACTGTAAACAACAATGTTTCTTAAGAGTATTTCGCAACAGTGTACCTAAAAGTCAAACTCATCAAAGGCGTATTGTTAATATGGCGCAGATATTAGACTAAACAAGAGGCACATACACAAGATTAGATGTTACAAAGACAGTCGTGAGAAGGCCGATTCATCACGACAGTATATTTCTGAATGTTATGAATTTTAGGTATGGTGTAGTTAGGATGAGTTTTAGGTATAGCTTTGATAGTTTTGTTG